GGGGTGCGGGAGGGGGTGCTGGGCCATTCGGCGAGTTGCTGGGCCGTGCATGGGACAGGAGGTGCTGCAGAGGGGTGCTGGGTCCTGTTTCGTGCTTCGGGAAGGACGAAGAGACGGGTTCGGGGCTGCACGCGGGGCAGGGATGCTAGGCTGCGTGTGGGAGCATGCAGAGAGCTGCTGGCTTGCGTAGGGGGCTCAGGGTGCTGCGCTGTGCGAGGGGGGAATGGGGAGAGAGGGAGACCAGGCTGCACTCGGGTTGCAGGGAGGTAGATCTGGGCTGTGCATGAAGTGCAGAGTGTAGGGTCCAGGGCTGTGCATGGGAGGTTACGGAGAGAGGGGTGCTGGGGGGGTACGGCAGTGCTGAGTTGTACACAGGAGGTTTAAGGGTGGAGATGTTAGGCCAGGCGTGAGAAGGGAGCATTGCAAATGTCTGCGTGGGCATTGAGCCATGCGAGGGTTGGTGCTGTGGGATATGGGTGCCTGAGCATTGGGCTGCTGGGTCAGGCAGGTGGGTGCTGAGGGAAGCCAGGAACGGGTGCTGTGCTGGAGGAACTGGCGTTGGTAGCACAGGCATGAGTTTGGAGAACCAAGGAGGCTTTGATGCAGGAGCTGGGAAGGGAGCTGTTTGTCCTCAGAAAGCAACACGCTTGGTACGAGGCAGCGCATGGGATTGCTGCTTGATGGCCTCTCATCCTAGGCCAATGACGCCTGTAAGTGCAATGGCTGGAAGAACCCCAACCCACCTACTGCTCCCCGCATGGACTTGCAGCAGCCTGTGACCAACCTGAGCGAGCCCTGCCGGAGCTGTGGACATGCCTTAGGTAACCTGCTGTAGCACAGGGTCTGGGAGCGACGGCCGGAAGCTGGGGTGGCTCTGACAGGGCTCCTTGGGTGGGGAATGGTACTGAGCACATGGGTCTCTCAGTGGCTCGCTTCCCCACTGCAGCAGACCACGTGTCCCACTTGGAGAATGTCTCAGAGGAGGAGATTAACCGGCTGCTGGGCATGGTGGTGGACGTTGAAAACCTTTTCATGTCAGTCCACAAGGAGGAGGACACAGACACCAAGCAGGTGTACTTCTACCTGTTCAAGGTACATCTGGTGCTCTTCAGGTGCAACTTCCCTACTCATGGGGGGAGCTGATGTAAGTGTCCGGCCTCTTGCCCTCTCTCCCCTGTCCTGTGCAATGTGCCAGGTGTAGAAGGAGCTCTGTGCTCAGTTTTGTGCCAGGCAAGCAGAGCTGGTGGATGGTGGGGCAGGGTGAATGATGGGAGGCAGGAGAAGGGAGTGGGCGGACTGGATGCTTCGATGTTTTCTTTTTATTCCCTAGTCTGTCTGTTTAATCCCAGCTGAAGTGTTCTTGCTGGGTTCTTCCAGCCCAGTAGGAAGCCTGAAAAACTGGTATCTTTCCTGGAAGCCATCTGCTTTCCCTATGTTGAATTCATCTGGGAGGGCAATTTTCAGGGAAGAAACAGGCTTTTTCTGAAATGGGCCCTGGCACGTTCTCAGCTGCATAAATTGATGGAACCCCATAGCAGGCCGCTGGTGTTCTGCCACTTCCACCAGATGACGGCCTGGCCTGTTTCTTGGGACCTTGGCACTAAAACAGTAATCATGTCTGATGCTGTCTTTGCAGCTCCTGAGGAAATGCATCCTGCAGATGAGCCAGCCTGTAGTTGAGGGGTCCCTGGGAAGCCCTCCTTTCGAGAAACCGAACATTGAGCAGGTGATGCCAAAGCTCTGTCTTGAGTTGCACTGCTGGTGACTTGTTATGCGCTTTGCTGCTCTTGCATGGTTCCAGTGCTGGCTAAAGGCCATGTGCCTGCTTGTGCCCTCTTTGGTGGGTAGCAGTGACTGAAGGGACTGATGCTTCTTTCTCCAGCCCATTTTGTGGTTTTCAGCCCCAGTATTTTCCCTAATAGTATGAAAATAAAGGGCAGCTTTTTGTGGCTCGGTGACTCTTAGTCATCGTGTTGCAAACTCGCTCAAGCTCTCAGCAGCGTACTGGATCGCGTTTTGGCATGCATCGTGTTACTAGGAAGCGTGTTTGGGTCTGGGTGGTGCTGGTCTTTGTCACTGGGAATAAATCAGTAGCAAGAGAGCCAGGATGGTCAGGGAGGAGGTGTGCTGAGTAGGAACGTAGGTGCTGGCCAGTGATGGCCCATCTTGCTTCTGCTCTTTCCCCAGGCCTCTTGTATAGGCCTTTGACGCATCTCTGACCTGCTGTCCCAGCCCTGGTTCTCCAGGAGCTCTTGTGACTGTGGCTTGGGACTTGCAGCCCTGGATGGGGCTCTCTCTAGCACTTGGCACCCCTTTGCCATCCTCCCTTCCTCTCTCCCAGGGAGTCTTGAACTTTGTCCAGTACAAGTTCAGCCACCTGCCACCCAAGGAGCGGCAGACAATGTACGAGCTCTCAAAGATGTTCCTGCTTTGTCTCAACTACTGGAAGCTGGAAACACCATCCCAGTTCCGCCAGCGCTCGCAGAACGACGATGTGGCTACCTACAAGGTCAACTACACAAGGTGAGCGTGGAGGAGGAGAGTGTGAGCCCGGCCAGCCTCTGGGGCAGAGTCAGGGTCTGCGCAGCTCCTCCCGTCTCTGTTCAGGGCTGACTGGTGATTCCTTGTATCTTCTGCCTCTTCCTAGCCCCGTGGTCTAGGCACGTGCTGGCAAGCAGGAACCAGGAAGCTTCTCTTCTGCTCCCTGTTTCGCTTGGTCTGACCCCACAGCACTGGTGTCTGAACCCCACAGACCCCAAGGGCCAGGTTGTCATTCTGAAGCACTCATGAGTTGCGCTGTGTGTCCAGAACACCGTGAGCCTCACGCCTTCACGGATGCTCTGGCTTGTGTCTCTTGAGTCCTGACAGCTCTCCCAGATTGTTGGTCTGTGGTCTCAGACATTGCAGTGCACGTGCCAGCAGATCACATGCTGCCATGTGCACAGGAGAGTCTGGACTTGAAAGTCACAAGCACTGTGCCTGCCCAGCCTTAGGAGAAAGTGCGTGCATGTCCCACAGATGCCTGGGAGTTTGGGGATGGGTCATGGCCTCTGCTAGTTGGAAACAACCTCTCCACTGGATTCCTGCTCTCCCTACCCCTTGTTCCCAAGGAGGTCCCTGGTACCAGCACTTGTCCCTGAATGGGTGATGATGCTCTGGGATTGCTCGTCCCCAGCAAGTGGACAAGTCCCTGGGAGTGTGTGCTCCCTTGTCTCCTAGGTGGCTGTGCTACTGCCATGTGCCACAGAGCTGTGACAGCCTTCCCCGCTATGAGACCACCCATGTTTTTGGGCGTAGCCTCCTGAAGTCCATCTTCACAGTCACCCGCCGGCAGCTGCTGGAGAAGTTCCGGGTAGAGAAGGACAAGCTAGTGCCAGAGAAGCGGACGCTGATCCTCACCCACTTCCCCAAGTAGGTGCCCAGTGTGGAGAGGGGACGTGCCTTCGGTGAGGGTCTCCTCCCTTGGGGATGCTTGCCCAGAGGCTGTCTTCCCATGCCCTGAGAGTGTCTGTCTGTGTTCCTTGTTGCACGCTGAGCAGTGGGGCTGCACATGCCAGCTCGCTAGCTAATGTGCTATTCTCTGCCCAGGTTCCTGTCAATGCTGGAGGAGGAGATCTATGGGGAGAACTCTCCTATCTGGGAGGCTGATTTCACAGTACCTGCTACAGAGGGTGGCCAGCTGGTGTCTCGCCCAGGTACCTTGGCGAGCAGTTTACCACGCATTGGGGGCTGCTAGGATAAATGACCTGGGTGTGGGTGATGCTTTTGCTTGTAGCAGTGGGGTATAGCACTCAGAGGGGCTATGGCTGAACTGATGCACATGCTTCTTCAGTGCATAACGAGGTGCCTTCTGCCAGTCTCGAATATTGTTGGTTTCTTCCAGCCGCGGTCAGCACCGTTGCTGTGCCCAGCACTCCACTCTTCAGCAAGAAGCTCAGCAACAGCAGCTCTTCGGCGAACATGGATTCCAGCACCCCAGAGCCTATGCCAGGTAATGCTGGTCTGAGCCCAGCACTGGAGGGAGCTGAGACTTTGGTCCTAGCGGGCTCCTTCTTAGCATCTGCCTCTGACATGCTTTGCTTCCTCAGGTGAGAAGCGGAAGCTACCTGAGAGCCTGACACTGGAAGATGCCAAGCGGATTCGTGTCATGGGTGACATTCCCATGGAGCTAGTGAATGAGGTCATGCTGACCATCACGGACCCTGCTGCCATGCTGGGCCCTGAGGTATGTGGCAGTGGGGGCATGCGGAGAACACATCATGAACCTGGCTAGAAAGAGCAGCCAGCTCTAATCATTGCTGCCAGGACCTAAGCTGGCATTTCAAAGGGCTTGTTTGTGGTCCCTGCCCAACAGGTGCTGGCAGCGTTGCCTCTGAGCGCCTGTGCGAGCGCTGACCTTCCCAGCGTTGGGCCTTGGCACCTGGGCTGTGTGTTGTTGCAGCTGGGAGGGGGAGGTCGCTGCACAGCAGTGCTTTAGTTGAGCAGAGAGCTAAGCATGGGGTGCCCTGTGCTCCCTGTTGGCTCTCCAGGAGCTGGAAGCCAGAGAGGTGCCTTCCTGATTTGGCTGGGCCTGTAAGCATCTGAGCTTCCTCCCGTGGAGAGAGGAGAGGGCCAGTCTAACCTGTTTGCATCCCTTCCCAGACCAGTCTGCTGTCAGCAAATGCGGCACGGGACGAGACCGCCCGGCTGGAGGAGAGACGTGGCATCATTGAGTTCCACGTCATCGGCAATTCGCTCTCGCAGAAGTCCAACAAGAAGATCCTGATGTGGCTGGTGGGTTTGCAGAATGTTTTCTCACACCAGCTGCCCCGCATGCCCAAGGAGTACATCACACGCCTTGTCTTTGACCCGTATGTAGGGGAGTGCGTGGGGCTGGGCTGGTGGAGAAGACTCCCTTCCTTACTATCTGCTTTGCTGCCGACAGGAAACACAAGACGCTGGCTCTGATCAAGGATGGCAGAGTGATTGGGGGGATCTGCTTCCGGATGTTCCCGACCCAGGGGTTCACAGAGATAGTCTTTTGCGCTGTGACATCGAATGAGCAAGTGAAGGTGAAGGCGGGGAGAGGCTGGTGGTGTGCAGGGTGCACGGGTCCATTTGAAGTGGAGCACAGTAGTCACAGTGTGAGGAGGAGCTGGGGGATGTTTGGGTGGAGGAGCAGCAGGACTGGGCTAGCAGGGGCTAAGAGGTGGCAGGATGCGTCCCAGGTCCTGCTCTAGCTGCAAGGGGAGTGTGAGCTGAGTGTCTCAATTATGACAGAGCACACGGGTGTAATCCCAGCCTCTCAGATAGCCAGACCTGCTCTAGAGTCTGACCCCGTGGTGGCCGTTCCTGAGCTGGAGCGACTGCTCTGTGGGTATCTTTCTGCCAAACTCATCTTGGGCAGGACGTGCTGTCCCTGTCTGTAGGGTGAGAGAGAGGCTGTGGGTAGAAGGACCATGCGTCCTCGTCTGTGACTCCCAGGCTGCCTGGGGTCCCATAGCGTGCGGGGGTGCCTGTCTCACGGCAGTTCCCCCAGGGCTACGGGACGCACCTGATGAACCACCTGAAGGAGTACCACATCAAGCACAACATCCTATACTTCCTGACCTATGCTGACGAGTACGCCATTGGCTACTTCAAGAAGCAGGTGGGCTCCTTCCCCTGTACTGGCATCCTTCAGGCCAGGCCCTCTTGCTAACAAGCCACCCCCTGACCTACCCTCTCCCTTCTAGGGATTCTCTAAGGACATCAAGGTCCCCAAGAGCCGCTACCTGGGCTACATCAAGGATTATGAGGGGGCAACTCTGATGGAGTGTGAGCTGAACCCCCGGATCCCCTACACTGAGCTCTCCCACATCATCAAGAAGCAGAAGGAGGTAAATCCTGTGGGCAGGCAGGTGCTGCCCAGGCTGTGCTTGCCCTGGCTCCTGCTTTCCCCTGTGCTGGAGCTGCCTTCAGCTATCCTGAAAGCAAGGGGTGAGGTGATGGGGATATACCATCCTGAAGTCTCCTCTAAAAACAAGCTTGCAGGCAAGAGAGGGGTCATTGCGGTGGCACTACAGTGACAGGGGTTGGCTTTGGCCTTGGCAGATGGATGATACAGCCCATTGCTTTAGATCTGCCAGGGCCCCATGTCATGATTTTGCTCTCTGGATCATCAAAGCAAGTCCTGCAGTGCCTAAAACATCCTCCCCTCCTACTACAGATAATCAAGAAGCTGATTGAGAGGAAGCAAGCACAGATCCGAAAGGTCTACCCTGGCCTGACCTGCTTCAAGGAGGGTGTGCGGCAGATCCCTATTGAGAGTGTCCCTGGCATTCGTGAGTCTTGCTTGCTTCTAGTAGAAAAGGGATGTCTTGCAGAAGAGCTCCTTCCTAGGCTGCAGCGCCAGTGCCAGCCCCTTCTGGGGGGATGATGCAGTTGTTCTGCTGTGGATGGTGCAGTTACCATCTGATGACCAGGCCATGGGACCATGCTGTCCTGTTACCACGCAGAATGGCAGTCCTGCTGAGGTCTGTGTGCTGGAGCTCTCTTTGCAAGAGCGGGTTACAGCTCTTCACCCCAGTACCTGCACTGCAGGGGATGGAGCAGCTTTGCTCAGTCCTACCTGTGCCATGGTCTGGGGCGCGTGATCGTGGACTGTGACATGTCTCCTTGATTTGCTGCAGGTAATGATGTGGGGACAGCCCTTGTCAATCTGAGCATGGGGCTGGTCGTGGCCGGGCTGTTCCGAGATGGTGGAGGGGTGGCTGGGGAGAGGCAGGGCCCTGTACTGATCACTCAGCAGGGTGCTGGGTGCCTGATGCCTTTGGGGGCACAGCCCTGTGGTGATGCTGACTCTTGTCTTCTAGGAGAAACAGGATGGAAACCTTTGGGGAAGGAGAAGGGGTAAGTGCTGCTCTCAGTGTGGGAGTGAAGACAACAGCTTTCTTGTAGTCAGCTGGGCTGCGGGAGGACCCGACTCAGGCCAGCTGCTGTACCTCACTCCTGGCAGTGACTGGAGGCTGTCTGGGTCCTCAGTGGTGACCCAGCACTAGCAGTGGGGGCATTAGACATGACATGGTGAGAGCTGCTGGTATGTCTGAAGGCTGGCAGGGAGCAGGACTTGCTTCGTAGCGGGGGACCATGAAGGGAGAGAGGAGGCTGATCCACAGCACGCACCTGCCTGCTGGGATGGAGAGGCTGCTCATGCTTGGGGCTGATGGACTGTGTGGTTTTGTTCCTGCAGAAAAGAGCTGAAGGATCCAGACCAGCTCTACAACACCCTGAAGAACCTTCTGGCCCAGATCAAGGTGTGGGAGCAGGAGGGGATGGCTCAGGGTGAGGGGATGGATCTCAGCTGAGAGCATGCTGGGTTGCGAGGGTATGTGCCCTTTTGCTCGGTGTTTCAGTCCCCTCTGACAGCCCTTGGAACAGCTTCCCTGTGGGTAGGTTGTCTTGGAGCTCCTCTGGCTTTTCTCTCCCCTGTGGGGGGAAGGTTGGGCTGACCCAGGCACAGCTCCCATCTCTGCTCCCAATTCTGCCCTGGCAGTGCACACTGACCTGCGGGCACAGTGCCCGGGGGAGCAGGACTGGGTCAGGCACTGGGAGCTGGCCTGCCTTCTCTCACTGCCCTAATCGGCTCTCTGCACAGACCCACCCCAGCGCGTGGCCCTTCATGGAGCCTGTGAAGAAGTCAGAGGCGCCAGACTACTATGAAATCATCCGCTTCCCCATCGGTAGGTGGTTCTGCTCTGCCCTCGTGAGGCAGAAACACAGGGGAGGGAAGCTGCAGCCTGCTCTGCCCTGGGGGCCTGAGCTGAGGTGCAGGGGTGGTCCTCACTACTCGGAGCTGGAAAGGGGGTTTCATGATTAGGGCGACCAAGTGCTGGGACACCCAGGTTCCCCCCTACTCCCTGGGGAGCAGGTACAGTGTGCAACCTGGGCTGCTCAGCCACGCAAGGGGCCGAAGAGAGAGGGGCAAGTCGGGGTGTCTTGGCTGGTGTCTGGCCCCATGAAGTGAGGGAGAGCTGCCTTCTCTGTGCCTGGGGACAGGTGGGAGGGCAAGGGCAGGCAAGCAGGGCTGAGGAGGGGGCACAGAAATGTGATGGGGTCTGACCCTTCCCCCCCACAACCTCCCAGACCTGAAGACCATGACTGAGCGCCTGAAGAATCGCTACTACGTCACCAAGAAGCTGTTCATTGCCGACCTGCAGCGCATCATCACCAACTGCCGCGAGTACAACCCACCTGACAGCGACTACTGCAAGTGTGCCAACACATTGGAGAAGTTCTTCTACTTCAAGCTCAAGGAGGGGGGGCTCATTGACAAGTAGGGGAGCTGACCTGGCTTCTCCTTGGCCACCAGGACCCCAAGTCCCTGCTTCCCCCCCAGGCCCAGCCTGGGAGGGGCAGGGCTGCTGTTGACCCCCAAGGGAGCCTGTGGGACTCTGAGCCCTGCTCAGCTGAGCAGGGGCTGTTGGAAGATTTGTTGCTGCTGAACAGCCTGGGGAAGCTGGGTCTTCCCTCTTCTGGGGCTGAGGTGAGTGGGGGTGGTGCTCTGTGCTTGGAACTACCTTTTGTCCTCGTGGTGTCAGCAGCCTCTGTCCTTGGGGGCTGCGTGAGCAGCAGGGCTGGTGCAGCTGCTTCTGAGGGACTGCCCGGGGCAGGGTTGGCACTGGGGTACAGCCTCTCCCTGTCCCTGCTCTGTGCAGAGCTGGGAGACCCCTTGCTACCTGTGTTCCCCTCTCCCCCAAGGGATGTGCCTTCTGCCCTGGCTGTTAGCGAAAGGGGCAGCCCCAGGGCTGGGGCACATAAGTGCTTTGGTTTTCTGCATGGCCCACGGTTTCTGCCAACCCCCAGGGTGAAGCGCCTGCTGCCCAGGGCCAGCAAGCTGCGCTCGCACACAGCACCTGCCCTCTCCTTGAATGTACAGCAGGGCTTGGCCCTGGCGGCTCTGAGGAGCAGGGGCAGAGATGCTGCTCTGGGTCCAGGCTCTCAGGTGGGTTCCCTGCTGTGACTCAGCACTCTGTCCTCTGTGCTTTAGAGCTCCCCGCTGCCTCCTTATCAGCTCTTCCCTTCCTGCAGGGGGACGGCTGACACTCCGGGCTGCAGCGCTGAGCTCCCGTCCCAGCCCTCCCTCAGCTCTGAGCCGGCCTAGGGCCTGGCTGCTCCATGCACAGCTGCAGCTCGCACAGTCCTGCTTGCCTGCTCCTGGCTTCAGGGCTCTCCCTACCTGCCAGGGCAGAAGTAGAGCAGGCAGGGCTGCCCTTGCTGCTCTTCCAGCTTTTGCTTGCCAGGCTCCCTCCCTTGCTTCCTGGGGCAGTCAGGATGCCTAGTGTGTGCTGGGCCCTGCTCTCCCTTGCTCTTCAAGCTGTGAGACTTCAGAGTTGGGCCCAAGCACCTGTACTCTCCTCCTGCACCTGGGTTGCAGTGCTGGCACCTGCTAGTGCCCTGTCCTCGCTACCCCTGTCCTTGTGCCTCATGGGCTGTGTTCCCCCCATGCCTCCCTGGGAGCAGTGCAGGGGGAGCATCTGACTGTAGCATTAACTTACCCCCACCTGCCTGCCCTCACTTGCTTAATGCTTGCTGCCTTATCGTTTGTGTTGTCCTTGCTGGGGGGATGCTGGTGCTGCTCCACAGGCTTGCTGGCCTCACTGGGGTGGGACCTGGACCTGTCCAACCATTCCTGTCCACCTATTCCACTTGACTGATTTTTTTTTTTTAATAAATGTACTTGTGCACAGTTGGCTGCATCTTTGTATTAGGCCCTGCCCCAAGGCTGGGCTGCCTGGCAGCTGGGACTGCTTGGAGGAGCTGGAGGGTCTGTAGGCCCAGGGTGGGGTACTAGGTGGGAGCAAGGAGAGGAGTAGAGCTGTACAGCGGTTGTGGCCGAGTGCAGGTGTGCCTGGTGCTACCTTATGGGGAGCAGGGCTTGGAGGGGGGCAGCAGTGCTGTGTTAGAGCACGCAGCTCTGAGCTGGGGGGTGCGCGGGGTGGAGCTGGGGTGCGTGGGAGCATTAGGAGTGGATGGAGCCATGCATGGAGTGGCTGGCTGACAGTGGGCTGGGTTTGCCTGGTTTCGGTTCTTGCCTGCGAGTGGGGCTCCCCAAGGGGGATCTGCTGGGTGCTGCAAGCGGGGCAGGCCCTGGGGGAGCTGGCCTGTGGCTGCGGTTGGGG